TCCCTTGAGATTGTCGAAATATACGTTTTTTTGCTGCATAAACAGCTATATCTATTATTTTTTTGCTAACTTAGAAGTTTTATTTTGTTTCACAGCTTCAAGAGACTATAACCCTGTTATAGTGCTTTGTTGTTGGCATTTGACTGGTTTTGCATTGATATCTGTTCAGTTTTAATTTGAAAATAAATGCAGTTTTTCTTAAATTATAATCGGCTTGCCCAAAATTGTTCAAATTTGGCTTGTGTATTCAGCATAAGCAGACCTTTAAAAAACTGTTTACGACAGAGCTGTAAAATTAATAGAGAAACCAATATTTGAACAGTTCAAAATTTGCATGGGATTTTGTATGTTTCCAAAGACGATGTGCCACCCGGTATATAACCTATAATATATAATTAAATTTAAAAAAAAAAATATTATTTCCTCTATACGTATTTCTTGTCATCTTTTTAAGACAAAAAGGAACAGTTTACATAAATAATACGCCAAGACAACATTAGCTTTATCAAAAATTGCGAAAATATAACCAAACAATTTTTCGCGAACATCGTTCCTTGAAGCAAAAGCATCATTCTCCTACAAAGTTAATATAAAAAGCAAATATCTAAAGTAAAAAAAGATGAGAAAAGAACGTCACTTTATTGACTTAGAGGATACGATTTTTTCAGAAGAAGATCAAAGTCCCAATTTAGAACCTCCGCGCAATTTATTTATTAAGATACTCGTGTTTTTCTTTGTTTCTTCTTTTTATTAATTCTTTTGTGTCCTATATATCTTTTTTTTATAAATCTAATTTTTTTTTACCTTTTGTATATTTATTTTTTTTTATCGTTTTTTATGCAGGGTATTTCAATATTACGGAATTATTCAAATTAAACCCAAAGCTTACCAACGGGTGCTTAAAAGCAGCCATATTGGGAACAGTGAGAATTGTCCGAAAAGTGCTTAATATTTAAAAGACCCTGAACTAGAGCAGTTCTGGTCAACAAACCAAACCTACCGAGTTAATCGTGAACTTAAAAAAAAAAGTAATAATATTTAATAATAAATTAGGTAAAATACATAATTTATTATTTTTATTTTATTTTATTAATTGTGATTAATAAAATTGCGTTTATCTCATCAAGGAGGCCGAAGTCGCCAAAATATCAAGATATAACTTTTGTACCCTGTATATTCGTCAAGTTTCGTGTGTTTTATAGATTTTCAGAAGGCTTTCGATAAAGTTCAACATCATAGACTAATTGAAATACTTAAAGGCATGAATATCGATAGCCGAGATATCAGGATAATAGCAAATCTTTATTGGGGGCAAACAGCGAAGGTTATATTGCATGGACTGACAAGGTTACAAATGTAGAACTGCGACGCAGAATTCAGAAGAACGAAGAGGTGATTAACACCCTTAAAAAGAGAAAACTTGAGTACTTTGGACACATAATGAGATGACCTAAATATGCCCTGCTGCAGAACATAATAGAAGGAAAGATAAAGGGCAGAAGGAGCCAAGGAAGAAGAAGAACATCATGGCTCAAGAATTTGAGAGAATGGTTTGGTATGACTTCAAACCAGTTATTCAGAGCAGCCGTTAACAAAGTTAAAATTGCCATGATGATTTCTAACCTCCATTAGGAGATGGAACCCGAAGAAGAAGAAGAACTTTTGTACCCTGTATATTCGCCAAGTTTACCATTTTTTTCATATACGTGCAAATTCTTCTTCAGAAAAGAGATACGACGACGCCTTAAAATAAAATTGCATTTTTTCCGAATTATTAACTTCCACGTTAGCGGAGCTAGCGAAATTAAAATGTAAAACACGTGCTGTCGCTCCATCCAGTCCCCCCCTAATCCCCCGCCGCTGCACGGTCCCCTTTCCACCACTTTAATTCATTTCTCGACGAAAAATATTTGCATAAAATTAAGGCCGGGGCTAGATGAACGCCGTGCCGCGAAGAGCGCAATGTAAACCTAATGGAGAAGTTCTATGAGGTTAGAGTGTAGTGCTATAAGAGCCAAGGGCGAATAGTCTTGCGATTAGAGCTTAATTAATTCGCCTTTGGAGGTTCTCCACTAAGGAGCTCTTATTTATTAACCAGTTTATTTGTTTACTAACCAGAATAGATAGATAGGAACTATCGAAAACAAACTCAGTAACAATCAATTCGAAGTTGGTCAAAGAATGTCTGAGAAGCTGAACAAATTAGACAAAGAAAATAGAGTCCTCCTATTCTGGGTGCTAGCCTATCAAGGGATAGAAGGTAATGAAAAAGCAAACGATCTAGCTAGAGAAGGAGCGAACATTCCACTAAAGGTGCGTCCAGACCTGACGAGACGAGAGCGAGATGAACGCGAGACATTCCAAATTTGCCAAGTGTGGACGGGTCTCGCGAGAGCCTCGCTCGACTGCCAGATATTATCACTTATGAGTTTCGACTATTTGAAATTAAATAATCTCAATTTTTTTAAATGGTTCTGTATGTATTGCCATTTTTTCTGATAGAATTTACAAATTTTGCGTCACTGATAATTTTCACCGTACCGAAATCTAACATTTCTTTAAACAAATTGAATTATTACAAAATCTACTAATTTTAAAAGTTACCGAATTGTAGATAGAATTTAATAATAAAATAAAAAATAGGGTATTCCCATTAAAAATATATGTTATATCCGCAACACTTTTTTGAAGTACCCTGTACACTCTACAGTAACTTTAAAATGTGCTACTTAACCTTCCCTGTAACTTTTCTATTTAACATTTTGTTCTAAAAAACGTTAAAAAACGTATTTTGTAAAATATGTCGTATCTAAGATCTGTTTCTAAGGAGCTTAACTTCTCAGTGGCTAGAACTGTTTATTATGCACTTTTTGAGTCGCGCCTCAGATATGCCCTTCCATGCTGGGATACGTGTTGTGCGACTTAATTTAACCGCTTTTTCAAGCTCCAGAATAGAGCTGTTCGATATTCACTTGGACTAAACAGCAGAACTCGTTGCCAGGACTTTTTTAAAAAATTAAAATCCGTTTGCCTAATACGTAAGCATGTATCAGCTTCCAAGAAAGACCATCTCACACTTATCCACTCAGGAACGCGGAGCAAGATCTTTATCTACCTACTCCACGCTCAGAGTTAGTTAATATATATTCTCTTTTGTTTGTTTACTTTACCTTTTTCTACAAATTGTAAAATTTTTTGACAATGAAGGTATTTATTTTATTTATTTATCTCGAAACAAATAAAGGGTGAAAGGGGAAAACAACCAAAAGGGAAAAAACGACGATTAATAAAATACGACAAACAAATACCATGTTAAAGATACAAACATTTATTACTATATGTGTTATTATTTGGCCATCGTTTGTTATATTCAATTAGAATTTAATATGTATTTAGGTTCTTTTGGTTATGATCCAACTCGCTTGTTTCGTAGCAAGCTTGTCTAAAAAAATGGATAGAAGATGACTCGCTCTCGTCTCCCTCTCGCCTAGTTAGGTCTGGACGCACCTTTACTGGACTTTTATACTTTTACTTACTTTTTATAAGTGGAAACCAACTTAAAGCAGAATCCAAGAACCTGGAAGATTCCATCACTAACCTGGAATGGAAATCCTCCAACGGTCCAAGACACTCTAAGAAATTTCTCAGAACTTACGACCGAGAAAAATCAAACATTTTCTTCATTTAAGTAAAACACTCTTCAAATTATCACGGGATTTTTTTTTACTTCACTCAATAGAGTGAAGCTAAGAAATACCGGAGAATGCAGATTCTATAGGAAAATGGCGAAAAACCAGAACACCTTATCACTGAGTGCGCCAAGACCACAACCATTCGTGGAGATGAAGAACTAGCCTCTCCATGTATGATGAGTTATAACTCAATACATTGACTTACATCTACAGATAACTGAGCAATACATTTATTTATATTTGATTGGAATAGAAAAAAATTCTTTATCAAATTAACTGAAAATGAATAAAACAAAAAGTCATAAAACTAAAACCTAAAAAATAAAAATACAACACTATAAAAATAATAAATTAAACTTCGGTGAGCGTTACAGGAGTAAAGTAATTAAAGTTGCTGGTTATTTTATGGGCGCGCCCTATCGAATTTCCTTTTTGTTTATGAAAATAATAAGAGAAAAATGGCACCGTTTATTACCCAGGCACCAGCACCTAACCGCCGACTATTTTCCAAGCGGGCGTGAAAAATGCCGGGTATTGCGGAAGTGGCGGATAAACCCGTGGAAAATGAATTTTAACTGCTAATTAGGCTGCTTTCAGTCCGGCCACTTGCCATTAATTTATCCATCCACCGATTATATTCTCCAATTTTCTCCGACATCCTTTTTCCCGCTTCTTTAGAGATACGGTTATATGGTAGGTTACGGAATAAAATATCTTGAAGTTTTATAAGTATTCAGCAGTATTCATTTGATTACAGTGAGTGAACAGCAAACGATGCAGGAAAGAGGACTGGGGATTAACTACAGATAATTAAGACGACGACATAAAAAGACTCAGTGCAAAAACACGTACAAAATTCATTACAAAACTTCAATCTCTTGCTGCAAAAACGTTACAACAATTACAAGAAATGTTGAACACATATATCTGGGCATACGAGGCTTTGGGCCTTAACCTGAACAACGATAAAACTAAAATCATGTACACGTTTGTTTCAACAAATTGTTGCTTGTTTTTAGTTTAAATTTATAATTTTTAAAGCATATTCTAGAGATACTTTTGACTTCGGACTAACAAAATTAACAAAAAACATTCTATACAACCCTTACAGCAGAATCCTCTCGAGTCTATATCATTAGTTAACCTTTAACTCCCCGAAATGATCCAATTAATTTTTATTTGGGGAGCAAAAAGGGCAAACCTATTAGCTAAAAACCTTCCTTAATCTTAATTTTAGTATTTATGAACATTTTGTTAATTCTGTATTAAAATTTGGCAACTTATTAACAAAATGGTCTTTTTTTTCAGGCGCCATTTTCACAGAGGATCAAAAAAACAGCAGTTCAGAACTGGCCTTTAAATATGCGGTCTACAAGATAAATAAGGACAGGGTGATACTGCCTAATACGACGTTGGTTTATGATATTCAGTACGTGCCACGAGATGATAGTTTCAGAACATCAAAAAAAGGTAGGTAAAAATGTTTTATTTGACATTCTGTTAAAATGACGTTTGTATGAAGTCTGTAAGTCATTCTGTTAAAATGATGACTATATGAAGTGGAACAATAAAGTTCTTCAATTCTGTATAAATGTGGTTGTTTTTAGTTTGTTCATCATTTTTACTTATTTCTATGTTATGATATTTATCCAAATCAACAATCTTTACAAATAATATACAGGGTGATTCCTGTCGGTCGGTCATGCTTTCGAGGAATGACAGGGGACGTCGAAATATTAATTTTGGTATAGCACACTATGGGTCGGAAATGCCTCTTACGCAAGATACAGGGTGTTAAAGTTTTTGAAAAATTAAAGATATTCTTTAATAGTTTTTTAATACTTGAAGGTACCGTTATAAAATTTCATTATATGAATCTACCTAACAGAGACACTTTAAATGTAAAAAGAAAAGGTTTTAGTTTCAGCCAGTGCAATTTTCTCAAAAAAAAATAGTACGCCACTGATAAAAATAAAAATTTCGGAGTTCTTTTACTTACTCGGTTTATTTCCAAGAAAAAATGTCTCTTGCAACTTTCTGCTATCTAACACCATTTTGTCACAATTTAAAAATAAATATTTTTTTAATGAAAACCTTAAATATGCGAATTATTATAACTACCTTAAAACTAAGAATTTTATTATTAACAATAAATAGTGTGCTATATGAAAATTAATATTTCGACATTCCCTATCATTCCTCGAAAGCATGACCGACTTACAGGAATCACCCTGTATATATTTTTCTTTATATTTTGACAAATGTAGAAGGTATCATTATCTGATTCAAAAATTTATATTTAAAACAATGAAAATAATACCAATAATATAATGTAATTTACTGAAGAATTGCTTTAAAATGTTCTCCTAAAATTACTCAATAATGTTGGAATATACTACGAAACATAAAGGCATCCTAACTTTACCTACGACAAAAGTTTATTTTTATTCTTATTCTTTTCGTTTTTGTTCCCCCTAAATCGACAATTTTAACTTTGAGTAAAGTGCACGCCTCCAGGACTTCGTAAAAATAAGATACAATGGGTGTGCGACTTCATGAGCGTAGCAATCGAAGGGTCGTATTGTAGTAAATTGGGCATAAATCCTACTTATTTGTTATTTATGCCAATATCTGATTTATTAGCTCCACAATACACCAGAAAATCCAGCCTGAGGATCCGGCCTTTGGACCGGGCTTTCTGATTAAAGCTTTACGTTTGTGGGTCAGACCAAATCTTTGGCAGACCAAGCCTGTAGAGGACTAAGCGTGTCACCAAGTCCGCGAACTTGGCCTGTGAGATTAGATTCGTCTAAATTACTACTGGAATTGGACCATTGCCTCTGCTCATACTATTTTTTGCACCTAATTGTCTTTGGGACTTGTTTAATTAATTTTAAATTATTAATATCTATACAATGTTTTTATCAACAATATGTTGAGCAACATAAGATTTATCTGGTCTACCATATCTTCTTTTAATCTAGTTAATATTGATTTTCTAGTTTTCCCAACATATTACCCGACCTTTCCAGTGGTGGTGTTTTATCTTTAGAATCACCTAAAAATTGTTGTAATTTATTATTAGCACTATACACAAGTTTATAATTGACATTCTTAAAAATTTTTTTAAACCACCGGATAACACTCTATCAAAAGGTATTGAAAAATATTTTGACGTATCTTTCTCCACTTGAAAGGTCGAATTTGCAGAAATCGCAAACTTATATCCATGTTTTCTAATAATTATTTTATCAACTAATGAAGGAGAATATCCATTACACTCGGCTATACTTCTAATGTAATTTCTTTCTATTTTATATCTTTCGTTGGTAAGTGGAAAACTAAGTAATCTTTAAACTAAGAAATTTAAACTAACTATCTTATGTTATCTATTATAGTTGAGACTTGGAACCTTTGGTGTTACACAGTAAAATAAAAACACTAAATCACCACACAAACTGCGGTTTATAATCATCTGCTGATGATGCTAACATGGTTAGCGAAACGCGCGTCCAGTGTAAAAGTAAAAGTGTTTTGGTGTATTGTGGTGATTTAGTGTTTTTATTTTGCTTATGTTATCTACCAAAAGACTAGAAGATCAAGCGCAAAAAGTAGGCTTAGGGTTTAATGAGAAAAAAAAACGAAATTTATGGAGTGGTTAGGTAAGGATTTTGAGAAGGAAAGAGTCTTTGTCTACAAATTGATTCTGAGAGAGGGAAACGATACAAGTTTGAGGAAGTAGATTAATTAACATATCTAGGAGCTGTATTTTTAAGGAAACTAAATTTAACTTAAGAAATTGTGGCAATTGTGAGTAAGAACAATCACTAGAAGTTTAGAAATCAGAAAGTACCAAACAATGATACGACCAATACTGCTGTATGCATGTGAAACGTGGACTTCAATGCAACAAGATTTGGAAAAGAAAAATACCGAGGAAGATTTTTGGAGGAAAGAAGATAGACAATAGAATTAAAGCAACTATATCGGGCACCGAGTATAACGGGACTAGCAAGAACACAAAGACTGAGATGGCTGGGACACATTGAAAGAATGGTCGAAGCAAGAATTCTTAGTATGATAATGAAACGTGAAATAGGTGGAAAGAGAAGGAGGGGTAGACCGAGAACCAGATGGAAAAAGGATGTTGAAGAGGACTTGAGAAGGATAAGAGTGGATGGGTGGAGAATAAAGGCGAAAGAGAGAAACAAATGGAGGAAGATAACCAATCAAGCCATGAGCCTTTTAGAGCTATTATATATCTTGTGTTCAACACTATGAACTCATTAGGAATATATCTGCTTGTTATGTTATTTTTTTCTGTAGATATCAAATTCCAGGCAATTATTAGTATTTCTAATATATACAGAGAAGACCAGGCTACTAGTAATATAGCAAGTTGCCGGACGAATTTACGTTTACCCGTTTTGCGTTCGTACTCGAGATTTACAGAAGTGTCTAGTTCTCGCAGTCAACTATTAAGCTTGACCAATCAGGTTGGTTAGCGTGGTTATTTGGAGTGTGTTAATTCATTTGTGTTTGTCAAAAACTCTAACGTGATTGGTCGGGCTTAACAGTTGCCTGCTAGGGCTAGACACAAGTGAGATTTACTGCCGGCTAGTCGGCTGGTCAGGCAGTACGCAGTTGCAGTTGCGCTTGGACGGGTCGGTCGTGACAGACTAGGAATACGACGCGAGGAGTGCCGAGTATTTATTATTTTCATTTTAAGTGTTTACCTTCACTTAAGGTAACATTTAAAATGAAAATACTTAAATATTTATTTATTTCGAGTGGTTTACAAGCCAAAACTAAAAATAAATAAATTCTCTAAACCCCAAAAAAATTAAAATATTCTCTAAATATAAAAACGTTATAACAAGTGTTCAAAAAGACCATGTTCTTGTGCTAGACAGAAGAAGCCTAGGCGGTCGTAAAATCCCCGACATTAGCTAACATATTAGGGCTAATAGTTTGGAAAGCCTCTCGTATTTTTACTTGAACCTCATCCAGATTATTAGCCCTATTATGACCATACACTTTGGATTTTACATAACCCCACAAAAATAAATCATTGGGAGAAAGATCTGGTGATCTAGCGGGCCACAAAATAGTTCCATGTCCACTAATTAAACGGCTCGGAAAAGTATTGTTCAAATATTCTTGAACAATACGGTCATTGTGGACAGGACAACCACCTCAGCAATTTGATTACTTGAAAACGTGGGATTTTGATCCGCGGTAGCACAAATGAACAATTAACTAAATTAATAAATAAATAATAATTAATAATTAATTAATTAATTTATTTTAACTCCTGTTCTTCATTAATCAACACATCAGGCTTTTTGTGTTGTTGTGGGAACACGCACCCATGTGTTCAAAATTATTAATAACTCTTGATACAGTAGGTAAAGATGGAATTGGCCTGTTTACAAAAGTTTGTGGAAAAATTGTTTGTATATCCCGATAAGACCTATTTTGGAAATACCACTTTACAATTTGAATTTTCTCACGAACATCGTAAACATCCATTATTTTACTTAAAAAATAAATTTTACACGAGAACTGTCGCGAGAATCTATGTATTCGTTTTGGCTATTAAAACACGAATAAATACAAATTCTGAAACATTCTTATCACATATCTACCTATTTTTATTTTATCGCATTTTTTCGCCTGGTTTTTACCGGCGGACGGGTATACGCTAATTCGTCCGGTTCTGCCTATGTTACTACTACGGTGGTCCGGTCTGTATGTACTTGATAAAAACTTTACTAGTCTTCTACCACTCCACTGGCAGACTTATACAGACAAAACTAAAACTGGTCGTGAAAAGCGAGTGCAACTTTTTAATATCGGCGCGCAATTTTCAATAGAGAAAATTCTTGGAAAACTTTCAAAAATATATCGAGCCGTGCTTTTGTCGAAAGATAGAGAAACGTACATTTTTATTACTACCTTCTTCGGACGCATCTCGAAGAAATGTCGCAAACGTGTTTAGAATATAACGCAGACAAAAAATAGAATACTAGAAAACTTATTGTATGCAATATATGCAGTGCATACTCGTATGCAATATCAACGTCGTGTAGTGTTAAATTTATAATTCAGTAGTCATGTTCGTAGTGACTACGTAGTAAACACGAAATTGGCAACTTTAAATAATGGTTCAGTGAGTCGCAAAAATAACAATCATTCGAATAAATAGTTATTTATGGTACTAATGTGTTATCTTACATATAAGTCACGCTGGGAAATGTTTTCTTAAGTGACTTATACAGGGTGGGCCACTGAAAACTTACAATGGCTATAATTTTTAAACCAAAAAAGATATCAAAAAAATAAAAAATACCGTTTCTATAATATCGGGGGGGAATACATATGACGTATTTTTTGAACCACCCCGACCTATCCCTAAGGTACCCCACTACTCACTTGAAAATCTTAAATGGCAACTCCCCACTTGTGGC